AAGGAAGGAAGGAAGGAAGGAAGGAAGGAAGGAAGGAAGGAAGGAAGGAAGGAAGGAAGGAAGGAGCCATGCTACCTAAAAACCTTTGCTCTCCTCAACCACAGGCCTGGCGGAACTAGGGTTGCCAGGCCCCCAGTCCAGGGGGGAGTTCCCCTGCTTTTGTGGCAGAAAACCCTACCCACAAATGCCCCCAAACATGACGTAATGACATCGCCCGGAAGTGACATCATCACGTTGCTGATGTCAGGGGGTGACACTCTAGTTTTTGGGCCAAACTCTGCGGTGAAACTGGGCTCAAACCATAGAGTTTTGCCCAAAAACTAGAGTGTCACCCCCACCCGACATCAGTGACATGATGATGTCACTTCTGGGAACAGAAGATCCCGGAACAGATCCTGGAGCCCCCTGCCTGTCAACCGTAAGCGGAACATCTCCGTCTTACCAGCCCTGCCAAACTGAATAACGTCTCGCAGGGCACGTATGTAATTTGGCAGACAGTTCCACCAGGTTGCTGCCAGGGCCGAAAAAGCCCCGGCTCTGGTTGAGGACAGCTGGATACTTTACCTATAGACCACCAAGATCAGTTCCCCTGGAGAAAATGGCTGCTTTGGAGGATGGACTCTATGACACCCTGCTGAGAACCCTCCCCAAACCCCGCCCCCATAGCTGGCAACCCTAATCCAGGCCACCGTCCTCCAGGACTTCAGAAAACCCTCGCTCCTAAACCTAGCATCCCACAGATGCAAAATACAATCCCGAATACAAACAAGGGAGCCCTTCATTGATCAAAACTGGCCCTCCATCAACTAGCTCAAGTGGATTGATCTACTGGTGAAACCTGATAACCCAACCCATGCCTAATCCTCCCTTGCGGCTCCTCTTCCTCTACATAACCCCTTCCCCATTGTGCCTTGCCATCCATTTCCCCAGCCCATCAGCCTCCCGCTATTTCTCCCTTTGTCAAAACTTACTCGGGCAGATCTGCTGGGTGTCGCAAGAACGTGTCTCGACGTTGCTTCCCGGGCAGGTGCCTCCGCATGTCGGTGCCGGATTGGTGCAGGTCCGCTCCCTGGTCTGGGCCCCCCTGAGACAAGTCACCGAGCAAGGGCCCCAGGGCGCCCATTCAGACCAGCCGCCCATCACTGCAAGGAAACAAGATCTTATGTCAGAGGACAGACCACCCCTGACTGCCGTGTGAACTATTCCACATCCTGTCAGGGATCCTTCCCAAGGCGGAAGAGACTATTTTCTCAGGGGGGGACGGTTCTAAAGAACACACTGGACGGGAAATGGAAATGATGGGATTATACGGAAAACAGGATTAATAGATTTCCATCAACGAGCACGCTGTGGTCGCTAGGGTTGCCATTGCCAAGCTCCATGTGGGGCCTGGAGACCTCCTGGAATGACAGCTGGGGTTGCCAGGTCTGGGTTGGCAAATTCCTGGAGATTACAGGGTGGAGCCTTGGGAGGATGGGGTTGGGGGAGGGGAGGGACCACAACAGGGTATAATGCCATAGACTCCACCCTCCACGAGAGCCAGTTTGGCTCTTCAATCTTGGAGAACTGGGTTTGATTTCCCCCTTCATATGCAGCTGCTGGTGTGACCTTGGGTCTGTCGCAAGTTCTCTCAGAGCTGTTCTCTCAAGGGCAGTTCTTGGGAGAGCTCTCTCAGCCCCACCTACCTCACAGGGTGTCTGTTGTGGGGAGGGGAAGGGAAAGGAGATTGTAAGCCACTCTGAGACTCCTTCAGGTAGTGAAGGGCAGGGTAGGACCCTGAGACTACATTGTGGGGAGGGCAGGATATAAGTCTAACAAAATAAAATGAAATAAAAATTTCCTCTTCTTCTTCTCCACAACCATTTTCTCCAGTGCAACTGATGTCTGTTGTCTGGAGATCACTTGGGATTCTGGGGGGTCTCTGGGCTCCATTTGGAGGTTGGCAACTATAATGACATCTGATCTCCAGCTGCCAGAGATCCATTGCAGATCCATGGAGAAAATGGCACCTTTGGAGAGTGGACTTTATGGTATATCATCCCTGTTGAAATCCCTCTACTCCCCAAAGTCCACCTTCCCCAAACTCTGCCGAGGGAGCTCTTTTGAGAACTGTTCCGGAGAGAACAGCTCCAAGAGAACTTGTAACTGACCCAAGATCACACCAGCAGCTGCATGTGGAGAGATTCCTACCTGATGCGAGAGTCTTGCCTTTTATGTTGCAGAAAGGGAAAGCAGCATGGATCTACTTTGCAAGCGAAGCCCCCAGAAAGCGTAATACAATTAGAGACGTGCCACCAGCTTCAAGAACCATTGTGTTAGTGACGGGGGGAAATATCCACGCTTTCCCCATTATTTCACTACTTTGATCATGAGTTCAAAAAAGGTAGTTGTCAATATGAACTGCAGGCTTAACTACATCAGATGCAGAGAGATGTGGGATTAGATCCAGGGCTGTAGCAGATGTGGGGTGGGGAGAGAGAGAGGCTTTAACCCTTGCAGTGGGGAAGTGGGGTGGAAGGGTGGGGAGTGCCTGTCATTTCCTCCTCCTCAGGTTAGCAACACATCTAAAAATGTGTGTGGTGTGGGGATGCCAATCTCCAGGTGGTACCTGGAGATCTCCTGCTATTACAATTGATCTCCAGATGACCGAGATCAATTCCCCTGGAGAAAATGGCTGCTGTGGAGGGTGGACTCCATGGTGTTATACCCTGCTGAGATCTGTGCCTTCCCCAGGCTCCACCCCCCCCCAAATCTCCAGGTATTTCCCAACCCAGAGCTGGTAACCCTAGTGTGTGGTCAGCTCTGACTGGCAAAAAATGTGTAGAGGGGGAAGAATTAAAATTATTTTCCCTCCACCCATGTGTGCCACAGCACATTTCCGATTAGGGCACTGCACAGCTGCTACTGGCCTTTTAAAATACATGTATAGCTGGGAAGATTCAATCACGGATTTCCCCCCAGCGGTCTCGTCTAGTTAAACCCTAACCAAATGTTCCCCAGACGTGCAGCGTTCTCAGGTGGCTGAATGACTCTGCCCAAAGGCCGGCACTGCCTGCCGGAATGTTATTGCCATGGGCCAGTCTGGTACCCATCCGAATGGATAGCTGGGTGGGTAACTGCTCGCTTACCAGACCCCCCACTATGACGCCACAGTTTGCCCGATGGGATTAAACAATAGTCAGGGACCCACAGGTCTTTTTTCGTAGAAAAAGCCCACCAGGAATCTATTAGCATAATAGGCCACACCCAACAGCAGAAATTCATTAGCATATTATACCACACCCCTTACCGTGCAGTTTAGGGTTGCCAAATCCAAAATTACTTACCGCGGGGGAGTCCCGCGCTGTCCCGAGAGTATGTGCGTATGCGCATAGCGCGCGCACCGCCACAATGATGCCACCCAGAAGTGACGTCATTGCGTCGGCACGTTGGGGGCGGGGCCACTAGGATTCGAGGGAAAACCATAGAGTTTTCCCTCAAATCATAGAGTGTCCCACCCCCAATGTGGCCAGTGTGATGATGTCACCTCTGGGTGACATCACGCTGGGGACGTGTGCCGGAAGGGGGTGGAGTTCCCCCGGGGCCCGATTTGCTCATTAGCATATTAGGCCACACTCCCATGCCTTCCGTTGGCTTGCTTGGGTGCCCCACGGTTGTGGGGAGCCCGGGCAAGCCCCCCCCCTGAAGGCTTGTGGGAAGCCCCGTGGCTGCCCAATCCTTCCAGGGGCCACCCTGGCCCGCCCGCCTCAGAGTCGCCTGGGGGGGGGGAGGCCTTCCCTCTGTAGCCAGGCACACAGAGGTTTTGGCTGTAGTGGGCGTGGCCAGCTCTGAAGCAAGCCGGAACTCTGTTCCTGTCCGTTCCTGCCCAAAAATAGCCCTGGGGACCCATATGATTATACCAAAAGGGCAAAGAGCAGCTCTGCGGGACTGTTTCAGCTCCATAAAACAGCACGTTGCTGAAGGCCTGGGCCCTCCATTCAGCAAAATATGTGGTGACCACACTGTGGCCTCAGACCAAATCAGGGCCCCGCTTGGTGGTGGAAAGGGCCACCAGGTTGCAGCCAACTTATGGCGACCCGGTAGGGTTTCCAAGGCAAGAGACGTTCAGAGCTGGGTTTGCCATTGCCTGCCTCTGCATAGCGAGGCGAAGCGACCCTGAACTTCCTTGCTGGTCTCTCATCCAAGTACTAACCATCCAAGTATCCAAGTACCCATCCAAGTACTAACCAGGGACGACCCTGCTCAGTTATGGTGGAAAGTGACGTCAAGTCTCAGCCAACTTATGATGACCCCGTAGGGTTTCCAAGGAGAGAGAATTTCAGAAGTGGTTTGCCATTGCCTGCCTCTGCGTAGCAACCCTGAACTTCGTTGGTCGTCTCCCATCCAAGTACTAACCGGGGCCAACCTTGCTCGGTGGTGGTGGAAAGGGCCATCAAGTCTCAGCCAACTTATGGCGACCCTGTAGGGTTTCCAAGGCGAGAGAAGTTCAGAGGTGGTTTGCCATTGCCTTTCTCTGCCTGGACTTCCTTGGTGGTCTCCCATCCCCCAGCACCAACGATAGCTGACCCTGCTTAGCTTCCAAGATCTGATGGGATCAGGCTAGACTGAGCCAGCTAGGCCAGGGCAGGACCCCACACACCTGCTCTCTAAAAGGACAACAATAGCGTGGGCGCTGATTCACAGAACACCCAGCATCGTTTGGTCCTCTGGTTTACACAGGCTGGCAGGCGGCCAAAATGTAAGAACATAAGAAGAGCCCTGATGGATTAGACCAGTGGTCCATCTAGTCCACCGCCCTGCTTCACACAGCAACCAACCGGTTGCCCTGGAGTGTAGCCAACCAGGCTCAGAAGCCAAGGCCTTATCCTGCTGCCGCCTTCCAGCACTGGCGTTCAGAGCTTTGTTAGCTGTGAATGAGGATTGTTAAATAGATTTGCTAGCCTCCAGGTGCAGGTCTCCTGGCATTAGATCAGTTCCCCTGGAGACAATGGCTCCTTTGGATGGTGGACTCTACAACATTATGCCCCATTGAGGTCCTCCTCAGTGTTCCCTCTAAGTTGAGTTAAGTGTGAGCTAGCTCACAGTTGGAGCTGCGGTGGCTCAAGTGGTTAAGATGCTGAACTGCAGGCTCTGGAAGGTCAGTAGTTCAGCAGTTCGAGACCCGGGTTGCCGCATGATGGAGTGAGCTCCCATCTCTAGTTCCAGCTCCTGCCAACCTGGCAGTTTGAAAGCAAGAAATTGCAAGTAGATAAATAGGTACCCCTTCGGTGGGAAGGGAACAGCGTTCCGTGCGCCTTGGTGTTTAGTCATGCCGGCCACATGACCACGGAAAACGTCTTCGGACAGTGCTGGCTCTTCGGCTTTGAAATGGAGATGAGCCTAGAGTCGGACTCGACTGGCTTTCAAGCAAGGGAACCTTTACCTTTACCTAGCTCACAGTTTTTTAGCCTCTGGCTCACACGTTTTTGTCTCAGCTCAGGAAGGGACGGCTCCAGAGCCAATTCATTTATGCAGTAGCCAAATCGCTCGCTCACAACTTCAATGCCAATCGCTCGCAAAGTAGAATTTTTGCTCACAAGACTCCACGGCTTAGAGGGCGCATCCCCAAACCCCTCCCTCCCCAGGCTCCACCCCCCCAAATCTCCAGGAATTTCCTAACCCAGAGCTGGCACTCCTATGTAAACTCTGTGGGCTGGATCTTCCTCCCAGCAGAGCCGCTTAAGGCGAAGGAGAACTCCTTAGACCGGAGAAAACCTTCCAACTTCACTGAGCGGTGTGATAGAATACCGGCCTGTGCATTTATCTGCTAGCTGTAATGAGGCCCAGAGGTCTTGATTTCTCATCAGTAAGCAAGACGAGTGAGATGATCAAATGCATGTATTTACTTTACAAAACCCGGCCATGCTTCATCAAGAGAGAGCGCACCCATCAGAGCCGTTACTAAAGATGAAGCTAAAAGCGTCAGCCCATATAATCAAAAGACAGAGAGGCTGAGCGATGGCGAGAGATTAAAGCAAAAGATTCAACCAATATGTTTAATAACACGTGGGAGGTGGGGCGGGGGTGGGGGGGAATCAGCCACGGCCAGCAGGACTCAGAGAGCGTAGTTTTACAAGACCAAAGAGCTGTAAACAATAACATGGGTCCAAGACACTGAAATGTGTATCAGAGAGAATTGAAGTTGCCAACTTTGGGTTGGGAAATTCCTGGTGATTTAGGGATGGAGCCTGGAGAATGCAGGGTTGGGGGAGGGGAGGGTCCTTGGTGGGGTAGAATACCATAGAGCCCACCCTCTAAAGCAGCCATTTTCTCCAGGAGAACGGATTCACCTGGATAGCTCCAGGGTAGCGCGGTCTCATCCGATCTCAGAAGCTAAGCAGGGTCAGACCTGGTCAGTATTTGGATGGGAGACCACCAAGGAATACCAGGGTTGCGACACAGAGGCAGGCAATGGCAAACGATCACTGCTTGTCTCTTGCTCTGAAGACCCCACAGGGTTCCCGTGAAGCCAGCTGTGACATGACAGCAACTCCCCACACTCCACCTCCTCCAAATCTCCAGGAATTCCCCAGTGTGGAGTTGGCAACCCTATAAAATGTACATCCAGGCTGCATTGCAAAACCAAGAGCTGTGCGTATGCATGCCTTCTCCATTGTGTTAAAGGTTATGCTTTGCTTCAGGTCTGCCTTTCAGTTTTCTGGTTGCTTCTATGCTAGGGTTGGTTCTAGGCAGGAAGTGATGTCACCATAGTAGCCCCATACAGGTGACACTAGACGTTGCCGGTGCGCTGGCTTCACTTCCTGTGAGATTGCCAGCAAGTAGGCCTGGCCTATCTCCTTCTCCAGGTATTGTCCGTTGGGGAGGTGGGGGGCAGGGCCTGTCAGTGGGGGAACCCTGGGGGTCTGGCAACCCTTTTCTAAGGCCCAAATCCTATTTCATTGCTTATGGAACGTCCCGTCCTGTTGAGAGTATCAACTCACTCTGTGTTATCCGCCTTCAGTCCCAGTGAGAAAGGCAGACTATAAGGGCTCTTTTTGTAGAAAAAGCCCAGCAGGAACTCATGAGCATATTGGGCCACACCCCTGACAGCACAGCTCATTAGCACATTAGGCCGCACCCACATGTTACCAGAAGTGTCGTTATCCAGCCACACCCACCTGTTGCTTGTTATTCTGTTTACCATGTTTGTTGTCCAAACCCAGGGCTTTTTTTGAGCAGGAACTCCTTTTCATGTTAGGCCACACACCCCTGATGTAGCCAATCCTAATGAGTTTCTGCTGTTGGGTGTGGCCTGTTATGCTAATGAGTTCCTGCTGGGCGTGGCCAACTTGGGAGCCAGCCCGAACTCCGTTCCTGTGCGTTCCTGCCCAAAAATAGCCCTGACTAATGTAAATAAATGAATAAATAAATTGCAAAGCATGAAACCAGGAGGAGGCTGAGCTCACCCAAGGGGTAAAGAACTGACTTCAGTGTCACATCTGACTCCCCCCCCCCCCAGCTAGGGTTGCCAAGTTGACTTACCTGGCCACCAGGGTTCTCCCGATGTCCTTCCGGGAGACCAGAAGTGACGTTGGGCATTTTCGGGCCTACTTCCAGTTTTGGGTTTACTTCCGGTCGAGGGCGACAGTCTGGTTTTGAAGCAAAACTCTATGGTAAATTTGGCTTCAAATCACAGAGTTTTGCCCAAAAACCAGAGTGTCACCCCAACTGGAAGTAGGCCTGAAACTGGAAGTAGGCCCGAAAAGGTTATTTGGGGGCAGGCAAGAGCCTGCGAAAGCAGGGTTTCCCCCACTCCCACCAGGCGGCTGGCAACCCTACCCCCAGCACAGAAGCAATGCACACAACAGCAAGGCCAGGGTACTTACCAGGACAGCAACCATCCAAGCCGCAGGGTTTCAGTTCCCACCGGCGGGACTCCTGCCCACAGTCGCCCTGGCCGTAGCATGCCTGGCTGCGCTGCTGGGTCCCTTCGCCACAGGAAACAGAACAGGGAGTCCATGGGGACCATTCACTCCATGCCGCTGGGCTGTGACAGGAGGCAGAAAAGGGAAGAAGGTCAAAAAGACACTGGAATGGGACACACATGGGGCTGCCAGGTCTCCCGGGGGGGGGGTTTCCTCGCCGAAAGGGCCTCCAACCCACCGGTTCGGATCCAGCTGGCAGGGGGAACCCCACCCCCAAAGTGGCCAAATCAGACCGACGTGCCCGGCACGATGACATCATCTGGAAGTGACGTCATCACACTGGGTTACGCTCTAGCAACCAGCCTGAAAATTCCATGGTACCATAGAGTTTTTAGGCTGGTTGCTAGAGCATCGCCCGGCGACATGCCCAGCATGATGACATCACTTCTGGGTGACGTCATCACGGAGCGCGCGCCCAAAGGAACTCCCAGACAGGGCGCAGGACTCCCCCACTATTATGAAGGTAGGACTTGGCAACCCTAGACACACGTCTCCCACATTGCTAACTCCAGCCTGGGAGATTCCTGGAGATATGGGAGAGCGGTGCTTGAGGAGGGAGGGAGCTCAGTGGGTGGTGTTGTACACCCTGTGATTTCACTAGGGTTGCCAAACCCCCCAGTTTGCCAGGGGTCCCCCGTTTTGGGGGGAGGTTCTACCCACCCCCAATACCCACAGCCACCCCTCTCCCTTCTCTCTTGAGAGAGAGGGGTGGCTGCTTTTAAATGCATGGATGTTTCCTCCCAGCCCCGATCTCCTTTGAGATCAGGCTTGCAGGGAAATGTCAGCTCCCTGCACTTGAAAGGGAAATGCCGGCTCTTTACTCTTAAAGGGGAAACGGCGGCTCCTTTAAGTGCAGGAAACTGGCCTTTCTGGAGATCGGGCGGGCGGGGCGGCGGACGTCCCCAACGTGACGTCATCACGTCGGGGATGCCCCGCCCCTTCCAGGAACGCCCCCAAAGTCCCCCACTGGGGGCTGAAGATGGACTTTGCAACCCTAGATTTCACTTCCAGGTCAATGGTCAGCCCTTCCCCTTCCTGTAGGCCTACCACCCACCATTGTTGCCACCAGATGGCAGGGAGGTTCAGGGAAAGGGGTAGGGTTCTGACTGTGGACTGGGAAATTCCTGGAGACTTGAGGGTGGAGCCTGAGGTGGATGGAGTTTGGGAGGGAAGGGAGCTCATCAGGGCTGTGATGTCGCTCTAGGACTTCTGTTTTTCCTAGACTCTATAGTATACCGTAGAGTCTGCCCCTCCAAAACTGCCATTTCTTCTAGGGGGATTGATCTCTGTAGTGTGATTACTTGTAATTTTGGGAGATCTTCAGGCTCCACATGGAGGCTGGCAACCTTAGGAAGTGAGACACTGCAAGGCTCCATGGGCTGGGTGGGGGTGCAAATAGGGTTGCCAAGTCCATCTTCCACCCCCAGCGGGGGACTTTGGGTGCGTTCCTGGAGGGGGCGGGACATCCCCGATGTGATGACGTCATGTTGGGGATGTCCACCACCACCAGCCCCCGCCCGTGCACCAGATCTCCAGAAACGGCAGTTCCCTGCACTTAAAGGAGCCGGCATTTCCCTTTTAAATGCAGGAGCTGGCTTTTCCCCTTTAAGAGCAGCCGCATTTCCCTTTTAAGATCACGAAGCTGGCATTTCCCTGCAAGCTTGCGGAGATCAGGCTTGGGAGGAAACATGGGTTCCACACACTTAAAGGGAGAGAGATGGGTGGCTGTGGGTGTTGGG